GCAAACACAAAATGGCAGCCTATCGTTTCGAGGCTCTTGTGAAAGAAATGGATCGTGTCTAATCTAATTAGCCGGAAAAATATATTTTAAAAGAGCAGCATTTAAATCAGGAAGATATGTATATAAAGAGGTGCTAGGAAGAAACTCTAAGAAACAGAAGCAACTGTGACAATGAGGCAAGCAAAGAGAGGGGTTTTCTTATTCGTCATTCAGATGTTTTAAGAGTTGATATTTAACTAAGAAGTTCTTACCTTTTATATTATCTTAGAACATACTTCATAAGATAGCTTATTATTACAGAAATCATTCTTCATATGATCACTCTGGGTTGGTAGTTGTTAACATTATCTGATGCTTTCTCTTTGATTTGTCACACTACCCATTGTGATATGTATTATCCCCATTGAAGAGAGGAGGACCCTGAGGCTTACTGAGGTGAAGCAACTTGTCCAATGAAAAGCATTTAGGTACACATGGGGTTAGGATAGTAATGGATGGGCTTGAGCCATATGAAACTGTCAGTCCTTTGATTTATGAAAAAACATAGTTTCACCTTACAAATATGACTTCAAAGTTCCTGATATTAGACACTGTACTATACTGCCTTACTTGAAGGAAAAGAGAATGGGATTTCAGAATCACTGGAAAAAAGTATCAAATTCATTTTAATTTTTCTGATTCTTCTATGTGTCTCTCTTCCCATTTCTCTTGAGAAATTTGACCTAGATGCTGACAAGGTGTCAGAAACTCCTGGAAAATCGAATCCTAAAAGTGGTCTCTAGTCCTGTGATTTCTGCAATAGTTTTCCATAAGCCCATTGACCAGAATATAATATATTCCCCCCTTCCTCGTTTTTTTAAATGGGAAAATGCTGAAATTATGAGCAATTTATTTTATTTTATTTTTTGGTAAAAGGTTGTGAAAGTCTTATTTTTCCAATGTGTTTCCTTATGAACAGCTTCTATTCTTGCACACTACAATTTGCATAACTTTAGAAGTCAGAAAGACCCTGAAAATTTGTTTATGACTCATAATTATAGTAATTTGCAGTGGCACTATGATTTGTCCGTTTCAGGGTGATCTAGATTCTTAAAAATTTACTTAAATAATTTTGATTCTAGATTCTACTCTCACTAACTTTTGCTTCCTTCACAAAATTTTCTAGAAGCTCTTGTGCACTTCTTAATTCTATCCTTTTATAACCAGGAGCCCTTAAAATTGATCTATTTTAGAAACTGTTCCCATTGTACACTACACAATTTATGCATAAAAATAAATTGGTAAGATGTTAGAAAGGGTAGTATAATTATTTAAGATGTATTGATCAAACTAGGCTTTCAATGAACTCATCTTTGCTTGAAAAACACAAGGAAAAAAGTGGATAGAGTTGTAGAAAATATAATTTTTGTAGCATATAAATAAATGGTTCCACTAGGTGGCACTGTTGATTTATCTACTTGTGTGTAACACACATTTTCATCTTCCTGAAAGCTCTAAGAGTAGGTGAGATTTTTTTTTTTCCTTTTTTTAATCTAATGAAAATTCCTGCATAGGAAAAAGCTGATTTGGGCAATTCTGTACTTGAAAAATGGGTGCTTCTTGCCATTAGAAACCTTATAAATAAGCTTCTACCAAATAGGTTAGTTCTTTTGGCATACAAACAAGAAGGTTGATGACATATATAACTTCCATCTGGATTCAATAGGTTTAGAAGCAAACTGTTTTTATCTCATCTATCTCTTGCTATTCAGGGATTGTTTTAAATAGGACTTATGTCATTGAAAATCTTTCTCCTTATCATCTGCTTTCTTTGGTAATCGGAGACTCGGGCATGCCCAAGGATTCCAGATATTCAGTGGCTCTGTAATCCATGTTGAAGGGAGGCAATTTACCCTGGACTCTGCACATATTTTTCTGGGTATTCCAAGAATGTGAGGCCTTGACTACCTGGGCTATCTCTCAGGGTTGTGTTTGCAGGGAACAACCTTGGGGGATGTGGTAATGTCTCCCTCTAGAAAAGAGTAGGCTTGCTTTCATTTACTATAAAAGTGATGATTCCCCCAAGCTCAGTGTTCTTCCTCTGTAAAGCAAGTATCCACTGTGGCTCTTTGGCATTGCCCCCATGAGATCTGGAGAACATATGGAATTTATGCAGACTGGCTCCCTTGCCAGGAGTATTAAAGTGTTTTGTCTCTGATCCAGGGGTCTTGTTTTTTGCTTTTTTTTTTATTTCCTGCCAGCACCCATGAAACAGTAAATCCCAGATCCTACACAGTTTCTGACAGTATTATCCTATTGTTCTCCATCCTCCTTAGAGCACAATAGATTTTGCTTCAGAATCAAATACGATTCAGATCGGAATTAAATTTGATTCATATGACAAACAAGTCATCTAGTGGAGTCCAGCTTTCTAATCTAATATACGAAGACTTCCTGCAACTTCTCTGAGTAGTAAATTGACTGTTCTTAGGTTTAACCTTTCAATGGCAAGGATTCACTATGCATGACGTAGCTTATTTCAATTTGGAACAGCTCTATTAAAAAGTTACTCTTGGTGCTGAGCCTAATTCTTTTACCTGTGTCTTTCTCCCAATAGAACTAGTTCTGTCTTTGACAGTGAATTCAGATATTTGTGGTCATTTTCCATGTGAGAACACAATCGTCTCCCTTGTCTAGACTATCTGGTTCCTGTTATTTTCACTATTTCTGGTATGTGTTGGTTCTGAATTCCCTTCTTATTGTGGTTGCTCTCCATTTGTTATATACACATGTATCAATTTTTCTTTTAAATAAAGTCTTCAAAAGTGGCAAAAATAGACATTTTAGGTGAAATCTGAGTCTTCTTCATCCCAAGCATCTCTCCTTGTTCTTTTTCCTCCCGACCAAATTAAGAAAGTAAATGACTCGGGGTGCCTGGGTGGCTCAGTCGTTAAGCGTCTGCCTTCAGCTCAGGTCATGATCCCAGGGTCCTGGAATCGAGCCCCGCGTTGGGTTCCCTGCCCAGTGGGAAGCCTGCTTCTCCCTCTCCTACTCCTCCTGCTTGTGTTCCCTCTCTCGTTGTGTCTCTCACTCTCTCTGTCAAATAAATAAATAAAACAAAGTCTTAAAAAAAAAAGAAAGTAAATGGCTCATTCTAACTCATCTTTGAATCATAGGAGCAAAGCACAATACCTAACACTTGGTGTGTTCTCATAAACAATTAATGAATAAATGACCTGTGCAGATTGGACTATCATCACTGCTACCATTCTGGATTCTAGTTTTGTGGCCTGACATTTGTATTTTATGAACATCATTACTCTATTGAGTTATATCAAGGGGGATGAGAAGGTAAAAAAAAAAATAAACTCATATCCTGCCTCTGCTATTTATTAGATGTGTGACATTGAGCATGTTATCATTCACCTGCTTCAATCTCCTCATCTGGAAAATGGCAAATAGAGGACATCTATCTCATAGGGTTTTGTGAAGATTAAAGGAATTAGAATAAATCATATAAAATGTGCATGGTATAGGGTGGGACTGTATATGTGTTGCCTACATAATTATAAGTTGCCATGGAAACAAACAATATCTCATATACATCTAAGTGTAGGAGAAACAATGTGAAGAGTAATATGTACATGCCCAAAACAAGATAAACCCAGTGGGGTAAGGTTTCACAGAAAAGCTACCATTTTAGAAGTGCTGATAGAAGGGAAAAGAATTCCCAGCGACCTAAATGAGCATAGGTCTACAGTTAGGAAACTTTTTTCTTTGCTACTGCTATTATTAATTAACATAATATGGGAAATGTATACTGTCAAGAAATATTAAAAGAAAAGCTAAAAATATCACTGCTCACAGATGGGAAACTATCACTTGTATAACACTTCACAGTTTATAAAAACAGCTTTATCCACATCATCTCATCTGATTCTCAAAACAAACAAAAGCAAAAGAACTAAGGTAAGACCTATCTTCTTCTTTATGAGAAATAATAGAGTTTGATGTGATTGCTTAAGAAGCAATGATATTCCTATTAGCCAGATAGATGGATAAATATTACAGTAAAAACAAATCTCCATTTACAACAGTAAAGTCACTAGACAGTAGAATGTGTCAGACTTCCACATATAGAAGCCCAACAAAGATGGAAAATAAAACTAAGAACACTTGAATAAATATGGAAACAATTCTAATTGCTGCATGGGAAGAATAGAAGTAAATGCTAGAAATGGTATTTTTTCCCCTATACAAATTTATACATTTAGTGCAATGCCAATAGATGCATGAATGGTACTTGTGTTTCTATATTTGTGTTAGTTCCACATTGTTAAATACAGTGACTTTTTCTGGAATCGTTCTGCCAACAGATATTGAGAACCTATTATTGCTAAGCACTATACTAGATACTGGGAAGTAGCTACAAAGAAGGCAGGGCTCTTATTCTCAAGGAACTCATGTTTAGTAGAGGAAGACAAAAGCTAACAAGTAAGCAATAAATTAGGTAATATCAGGTACTGAACAATACTATGTAGATGATAAAACAGTCTAATATGGAAGGGAGTAATTTAAGGGGATTTGCTTTATTCACACCTGTTGCTGAAGGTCTTTCTAAGGAAGGAATATTTGATTTAAAACATGATAAAAGAGAAGAATTACAGAATTCAGAGAAAGGAGTGTTCTAAGAAGAAAGAACAGCAAATACAAACACTAGGGAATAAAAATAATCTTGAACTGTTTAAGGAAACAAAATTTTAAGTATGAATTGAGTGATTATAAACAAGGGTAGAGCAGAGGCAGATGATGTTGGGGAGAAAGTTAGATTATTAAGACCCTTTGGAGATCAAATAAAGCATAGTCTATTTTAAAGTAAAGTTTTTTTTTTTTTTAAGGTTTGGCTGTAATGTGGTTTGGTTCGCTCTGATTTCTGTGTGAAGGATGGAATTTGGGAAGTGGTGGGTGGTAGCTATGCATGCTGTTAGACCAGTTGCAAGTTGATATAGTGTCTCAGGAGAATGGAAAAGATGATTGGGGTTTTAGCAATGGGAACAGTGAGGGGATTAGGGTTATATAATGGAGTAAAAGCTGACCAGCTTTATACATGGGAAGGTAAGAGATGAGACGAAAAGGGAAGACTCAAGAAAGTTGAAGGTTTTTGTTCTGCCTAATTGCAAAGAATGCAGTACAATTTTTCAGAATTAATTATCTTTTGGCAATGGATTCAGAGGGGAAAATACAGAACGATCTTAAATAGAGCCAAGTAGAAACATTATGTTGGCTGCTGGATATACCAGTAGAGAGCTCAGAGGAGACATCTGATCTAGAGACATACATTTCAGGGCTATTATGATATTGATGGTATTGGAAATAGTAGAAACTTATGAGCTTCCCCAGGAAGAGAGTGTAACTAGAGAAGAAAAAAAGAATATGTGATCGAGTCCCATAGTACTGGTATTAGAATTATTCAAGAGGAAGAACCAGTAAAAGACAACAAGAAGATAGAGCCTACAAGGGAAGAAAGATGTGGCCAGTTTAACTAAGGTATACCAGAAGCCTAGCTGAATGCTCAACCTAACCAAATGCTGCTCAGGGTTTATGTACAATGAGGACAAGAATTAACCACAGAACCTGATATAAGACCTGCTATATGATAACCTAATGTATTATATAAGGTTCTTTGTGATTGAGCATCTTAATTTTGAATGAAATATATTAGCAAGTACATTGAGTTCCATAATATGTAATTGTTTTGTATATTAACTTACCTCAGTACTGATTCCTAAGTATTTTGTAATCAACGACTTTTCTAATTTTCCATTTTGTGATTAACAAGATCTCACATTTATCACTCCTCATCTGTAATTTGCCTTTGATTTAAAATGTACTGTTATGGGGCGCCCCGGTGGCTCAGTCAGTTAAACATCCGCTTCCGTTCAGGTCATGATCCCAGGGTCCTGGGATCAAACCCCGCATCAGGTTCTCTGCTCCGTGGGAAGCCCGCTTCTCCCTCTCCCTCTGCCTGCTGCTCCCCCTGCTTATGCTCTCTCTGTCAAATAAATAAATAAAATCTTTTAAAAAAATAAAAGGTACTGTTACTGGATCATAAAGAATAACCTAAATATAGTTTCAATTCGAATTAAAATAGATCCTTGCGGGGCGTCAGTAAGGGCGGAAGCAGTGTGGCTGGGATATGAGCTTGGGGTTCCATCCCGGCTGGGCTGCCGCCCCTTCTGGGCTGCCGCAATGGAACTCAGCGCCGAGTACCTGCGGGAGAACCTGCAGCGGGACCTGGAGGCAGAGCATGTGGAAGTCGAGGACAAGACTCCCAACCGTTGTGCGTCCAGCTTCCGAGTCCTGGTCGTGTGGGCCAAGTTCGAGGGGAAGCCACTGTTTCAGAGACACCCGCTGGTGAACACGTGCCTAGCGGAAGAGCTTCTGCACATTCATGCCTTTGAGCAGAAAACCCTGACCCCAGAACAGTGGGCCCGTGAGCAGCAGAAATAAGAGACCAAGGCCTGCACAGCCATTAAATTATGAATCAGGGCCAAAAAAAAAAAAAAAAAAAAGTAAAAGAAAAAGATCTTTGTCAAGCTATTTGTGCTTTAGTACATTTCATTATCTGCCATTTTTTCCTTTCTCCCACCTCCATTTTTCCTTTTAGTTAAGGTGTTCTCTGGTAACATTTTTTTCATTGAATGTTTTCTAGTTTCCACTTTCTGAAAGCATTGGGGAAACCAAACGCATGCACATATGCACACACTACTGAAGAAGCATTTTGAACAAACTGGAAATATTTTGAACTGAATCTGCAAAGTCAGTAAACGAAGTGGTACTTTTGTAAGAGAAAGGTTTTAAATATGGCTGGTACTTCAGAGAAAAGAAGTCACTTTCTTTTTTTCCTCCATTTTCTAGAACACATATTTGGGGAATGTGTGTGTTCTAATTCAGTTATCTTTCACAATCCAAGTAATGTTGTGAATAGATATTTAGAATCTCCAAGATAATCAAGGTCCAAAAATAACGTGAGGATTTAGAAACTGGTGCGTCATCTGGACTGTACAATGATGAAACATTTTCACATCTGAGAGTTGAGGGTCTGTGCTGTCCAGAGCTCTCCATGTTCTCTTCGACAGGGAGCTCTTTTCTCTCCTTTCTCTCACGCTTGATTTCTATTGCTCTTTCCATGGCTCTTAAAAATAACATATCCTTTTATTGTTTGATTTGATGCTCTTAATGGAAAGCAGAGAGAAGTCTCACTTCTTCCACCCCATGTTCTTTTCATCATAAATCTCCACTAATTTTGTTGGCAACATCAGGACGGGAGAAAATGTTCTAAAAGTGAACCACAGGAGAATGACTTGTGCACTTCACTAAGTCTCTCATCTCCACCTCCTTCCCTAGGAAGTAGGAATAATGGTGATACCTGCTTATTATTCCTCCGGGTTTTGGTGAGAATCAATGGATATAGTGGATGTGAAAGTGCTTCATACGTGGAAGAATGGCATGAATGTTAGTTACATGCATCACCTTTAGTATCTCAGCTTTATGGATAAAAAGACTTAAAGTACATATTGACTTCATCAAGTTAATTTCTGCAATGTTATCACAGTCACTTCATTTGTTTCATGCATTCAGAAAATATTTGAAGAAAAATACAAATGGACGTCACATTAGCGAACCCTAATTCTCTAGGTCAGTGGTATTAAACTTTAAGATGAACAGCAATTTTCTGAGGTCTTTGTTAAAAGCAGGTTCTTAAATCCAACCTGCAAAGACTTTTAATTGAGTAATTCTAGATGGAGTCAAGGAAAATGCATTTTTAACAAGACCCATAGGTGATTCTAATGTAGGTTATCTGGAACCTCCCTTTGACCACATATTGCTGAATGACAGTGTTGTCCCAGATGTCCATGAGCTCTGGACTCAGTGGACCAGAATTTAGAACTTGTTTGGTCCTTTTCTAACTGAATGATACAGGGCAGACTGCTGAACCTCTTTGAGCCTCTGTGTCTCTATTAGCTTCCTAGGGTCACTACAGATTATTACAAATTGGTTGGTTTAAAACAACAGAAACTTACTCTCTCATAGGTTTTGAGGCTACGCGTGTGAAATCAAAGTGTTGGCAGGCCCATGCTCCCTCAGAAGACTACCTAGAAAAGTCCTTCCTTGCATCTTTCTAGCTCCTTGGTGGCTTTGGGCAATTCTTGACATTCTTTGACTGGTAACTACTTCACTCCAATCTCTGCTTCCATTTTCACATGGTGTTCTCTGTTCCTCTGTGTGTCCTCTCCTCTTCAACAAATCCAGTGATCAGGTTCAGGGCCCACTCTAATTCAGTATGACCTCATCTTGATTTAATTGCAACTGCAAAGACTCTACCTCCAAAAATGGTACACTGTGAGTTTCTGGGTGGACATGAATACTGAGGAGACACTACTGAACCCTCAACAGTGTCCTTACATTAAGAAGATTCATTATAATATTTGGAAGCAACTAGTTAACACGTAGTAGTAAATGTTCAGTAAATAATAGTTTCCCTTCTGTCTTTGCAATAAGGCTTAAATATTGGGTCTTAAACACAAGTCTAAAGACTAGGGCTAACTACATTATATTTGCCTTGGGAATATTTGAAAAATACAAATCCCAGACTGCTCATTGTAGGTTATTGTTATTCAGTAAATCAGGGATGAGGCCCAAGAAGCTGTATTTTTAAAAGTTTACCCAGGGGATTATAATGTACACTTGGACTTTGAAACAACATTCTTTGATTAAGAATTTGTTACCTCATTTATAGAACTGGAACTCAAGGATACTCCCTTTACATAAAATTTGCCTAAAGTATAAGAATATGTACTTCTTAGAGCACACATTTATTTACAAATGATGATGCTAAAATTAAACCAAAATTTCACAGACAATGCAAAGGCCTTATTTGGGAGTCACATTTTACCTTTCTGATTCCAGTTTCAAATCTCAAGGAAAGTTTTTCTTTGGTCTATTATGGGTTTAAATGGATTTAAATATCATTAGAATACAATTATAATAAGGACCAAATATTATTAGACATACTCTCCCAACCCATTATTTTCTTCACATTCTGGCTATTTTGCAGTTGACCTTATGAAGCTTCTCATTCATTTCTTCCACATCCCTTGTAAAGAAGTCATTTTTTGTTAATGTTGATTATCTTCTTTAGAGTTTCAATAGGTTACAATTTACCTTTCTCTGGAGATTCTTCATGTGATTTTTGAGTCTAACACAAATTTTCTTCTTACAGTAGGACGCTGAGCACAGTGGTTTCCTCACAGCTTAGTGAGACCATTGGCATCAGGAGTCTTCAGCTTTACAGGCATGAAAATCATAGTGGCAGTGAAATTACTGTGAATGAAGTTCATTTTGCTGATTATAATACTCATCTACTCCTGGGGTGCCCTGTTCTATCGTCACCATCACTTGTCACACCTACGTTGAAAGGAATGCAAAATGGTTATGTCAAAAGATAAAATTAGTCTCATAATAATTCACATGTTTAAAATACTTAGAACAAAAAAGAATATTCAGCTACCTTTTCTGTCACCGTTGTATATTAGCTTTGGCAACTGGATCTGATGCATTAGAACAGGATATGGATATCTGCTCTTCAGCAAGACAATACACATTTCACTCGAAGATTTGACTAGATTCTTTATGCTGAACGCAGGGAGATAAGCTAACTTTCCCTGAGTTGCCAAGGGCAACTTGATTGCACATGCAATTAGGAGCTACTCTGAGAAAATAATGTCTAGACACATTCTTATATTTCATTTCAGGGAAATATTCACCTAATATCTGTTACTTCCTGCTGTCAGAACACTGCTGATGAATACTGCCTATCCCTTGAATCACCTATCTGAGCTCTATGAAGGAGTGAGCATAATACAAGTGATAATATTTCCATGTAGCAAGAAACTTCATTTCAGCATAGAATTGTCAAGTAGCACTAATACATTTGACTTCTCATATATATATTTTTTTATATTTGAAATTGTTGACACATGTTCAGGTTATGCCTTCACTTATTCCATCAGAAATGTCATTCCACTGAAGATTTCCTCTGCCTCTCCCTCCTACTTCTGTTATATATTCAATTCTTCCAGTTACAATTGCAACTTTTTTTCATACTAGATGGTAATTTATGCCACTTATTATATTCTCTATACTTAATTATGAAGAATCATAGTTACAATATGATTATGCCTGTATATAAGTGTGACTATGACTTTGACTGTGAAAGTTACAGGGAAGTAAAAGATACCAGAGATGGAGACGATGAGCCCCCCAGGCAGGCATTTTTATGTAGCTATATCTTGGCAGTTTCCATGTCTCAACTTTTGGCATTGAGGTCTAGAGTCATTTACACTCAGAGTGAGTCAGAAACTAAAGATGACTCATTAAAACAAAACTTACAAAAGATTGATGTATAAACCACATATTTTATGATAAATAATTGACAAGAATTCCTAGCACTTATGCAAGCTCTTCGGGGTATAATCCAAATTCACCATTTGGAAAGTCTACACCAGAAGTCAAGTTATACTTTGGAAATTGGTAAGTGAGCCTGAGTTAGAGCAAGGGAGCAGATTGGAGGTGGATGGCACATCTGGCTCCACTGGGGTGCTCTTACCAACCATATAAGCATGATTGAGAGAGTACCTCTCCTGTAAGCAGATTGGAAACACACTGGCAATCATCTTTTTATGGCTCCTTTTTGAACTTTTCTTTTCTTTGGACTTTGGACAGACCATCCTTCTAATCCTAGTAATTTATTTCTTGGATACCCCAGGACATGTGTAAGTTTGACTTAATGTGTCATGGGGTCTTCACTAGATTGGCTTCCTGTATTGGGTCTTAGAGACTTTTCTTTTTTAAAGATTTTATTTATTCATTTGAGAGAGAGAGAGAGAGCACAAGCAGGGGGAGAGGCAGAGGGAGAGGGAGAAGCAGGTTTCCCACTGAGTAGAGAGCCTGATGCAGGGCTCGATCCAAGGACCCCGGGATCATGACCTGAGCCGAAGGCAGACGCTTCACTGACTGAGCCACCCTGGTGCCCCTTGTTTTGTTTTTTTTTTTGAAGATGGTGTTTGTAGTTATAGTGGTTCTCATGTGTCACATGCTAACTGTTGCCAATTCAGTAACTTTAGCTTATTTCAAGCTCTAGTGACACGTGATGGGAGTCCCCTTTGTGCCTATTCAATCTCATGTGACCACCCCATGTAGCTTGCCCATACCCAGTTTATGAGTAGTAGAACCTTATAATTACCAGTGGGCTAAAGAGGATGAGGCCTTGCCTCTTAACCTTCACACTGCCCAATACCTGCACATAGAGAAATCTATTTCAATGAGATAGAAACTATTCATTTTAGGGGCACCTGGGTGGCTCAGTCGTTGGGCGTCTGCCTTTGGCTCAGGTCATGATCCCGGGGTCCTGGGATCGAGCCCCACCATCGGGATCTCCGCTCGGCGGGAGGCCTGCTTCTCCCTCTCCCGCTCCCCCTGCTTGGGTTCCCTCTCTCGCTGTGTCTCTC